AGCAAAAATCCCCGAGAACAAAGTGCTAAAAAATCCACAAAAGGCACAAACATTAGCAAAGCTTCTTAAAAAGAGGACACCGTAACATTACCACGAAATGCGGAACCTTATACTAGAAGATAGCACAACAACGGAGGCGGTAAGTCCAATATGTGAAGTATTGAACTCTTATTACGCAACGTTCTTCAATAATACTACCAAGATAGCCTCTCCTCTCCTAAAACGGAAGACAAATATAACCCTTTCGAACATTCCCGTAAACCTGAGTGATGTTCAGAAGAGTATACTTTCTACAAACCCATTGATGCATCGAGGACCGGATGGTATCCCCCAGCTACTATCAAATCTGGAGGTAAAACATGCCTTTATTGATGCTAAACGTCTACCATAAATTAAAAGTGGATGCTTCCCTCCACAGTGGAAAAGCTGGATAACAGTACCAAAGCACAAAGGTGGCCCACGCACTGCAATGCCAAATTATTGCCCTATTAATCACACTGAGACCGCCTCTAAGGCTCTGGAGCGAATCGTTACGAATGGTCGTGTTCGATTCCCAAATGACTAGACCTGATAAGCATTGTGCAACATGGCTTTCTTACGAAGCGATGCAGTGTAACGTGGGAACTACAATTCTTTGATCATGTATCATCCGTCGTTGACAGTGGCATGGCAGTTATCGTCATCCTACTAGACATGCAAAAGTCCTTCAATCGTGTGCCACACAAGCTGTTGCTATCCGCCCTGCACTATTCCGGAATCGGCAATCCGTTTCTGATTCAAATCATACTTGGAAGACTGGACACAAAATGTTAAAATCGGCCAACACCCATGCTCTTCAAAAGAAGTCACAAGTGGTGTCGCCCTCGGACGACTTGACCTCCTAATCTATATAAACACCACGTGATTCCATAAAACACGGACAAGCATATTTGTTTGCGGATGACATTAAACTCGTTTATTCAGTCCCACCCAATAATCTCGAACCGGACCTTAGGGATATACATGAGAATTTAGCTGCACTGAAGTTGTGAAGTAGGACTTAGTCTATGACATATTCTGCAGAAAAATCGCAACTGCTTCGGTATGCATGCTGTATACTTGTAGGCTCCATCGCCCTTGCAGGTAGAAACATTCCAATGACCGAGGTCCACCTCAAGTGAACCGATGTCTCAATAGAGGTTGCTTGTGGCAACCCAACCACCAGCGGATACTCCCAGTCCAACTTTGCATTCGTTTCCGCTGGACTAAGCGTTGCTCGCGGATCTCAGTGGCATAGTGCTTATGGCGTCAACCATGAGCCACTAGGCTCTGAGTTCCATTCCAACTCAGGCTATCTCCAACTGATGAGTCCCAACCAGGACGAAACCGCGGTCTTGGGGTGCCAGTGTTGGGATGAGCAACACTATAATGTTTCCATTCCAAGCTCCTCTATGTTAGAGACCTTAGGGTAATATACTCCATCTCCCTCAACTTTTCCGAGCATGTCTCGTACCAGATAGTAAAGGCAAGTAAAAGCCTACATCACTAAATCCTTTATCCTCCTTCCCGTAACGCGACTAGAAATTTCTAATCTCATTGTAAGACCTATGCTAAAGTACTGCACTATCATCCACAGGCCCTTTGCGTAGGACACCTCGGACAGCACTAGAATGTATCCAAGGGTCATTCACGAAAGTACTCATTGAACGATTCACTTATATGAGCTATGAATGCTGTTATCGCCGTCCTCAGTTAAACCCACTGTGGCTATACCGACTGAGGAACGATCTGGTACTTGGTTACAATAGTATACATTGCCGGGTATAGATAACTGGAATGGACTTTACCTTCCCAAATTTCTCTAATTATCCCACAAGAAATAGGGGTCACACTTTGCCCACACAAAAGGGGAAACTAAAAATCCGTTTCAACTTTTGCCTGGTAAGGTATGCTCAGTTATGGAACAAGCTGGCATTAACAATACAGACAAGTGAAAACCTAGCCACATTTAAAGTGAATTTGGAGGCGTTTCTCACTATGCCGAATATATTGAAGACATCCGGTTTTCAAGTGCCTACAGATGTGTTGATTGTATCTGGACCAAACAATATCTGATTAATGTTGCAAGTTCAACTCATCCCAACACATTTTTTGTGCTACACGAAAATGTCAACCGTGAAGCCCTAATTGCAGGTGAAAAGATACTTGTGTATCACTTATCTCTAACCTACTTCGCATGGTTTTACTATTATTTCTGCTATGCAAACTTGACAATTCGCATCCTCAAGACATTTTGAAAGACGAAAATAACCCATTAGTAATTTGAGACCGGTTGTTGCTAGCTTCTGTTAAATCCTGTCACACCAAATAATGTGTAGCAGTCTGGAGATTCCCCGGTTTGCCTGGGTAAAATTCTAACTAAAATTCTTTACTTGTACACCGAGGCCACCGGTGTGGTCCGTTGAACTGACTGCTGAGTTCGAATGCTTGACTTGCTCATCGCCACTTTTGCTTAGCGCTCGTTTCGGTTGCAACTCGCGACTGCCCTGTGTGCAGTGCATGCTCCTTACCCCTAGCTAGAGCGTCCACGGTGTCGTTCCTTTATAGCTAGATAACAGGGAATCTTCTACTGTACCAATAAAAGTTTCCCTGCAACTCGACCTGTCTTCTCGAATCGCTCTGCTGGCTCCCGGTACAGGCGACCCTCTAAAAATGTGATGACATCCGGCACTATCATGAGACAGGCTATTCGTTCAGTTATTTCCTTCCTATATAGACACTTGTGTGTTTATCTTCACTATATGCTTCTTTTGGTTTCGTTTTTCCTTCTTCATTGTTGGTCACCACCGTGCTGCTCTGCTGAAGTGACGGAATGAAGCTTCCAAGCAAAATGTTTACCCAAAAAGTCAGACGTCCAAGGGTGGTGAAAAAATTGCACTCTGAACTACTGAATCCCCACCCAGCGGCATATGCCACTAAATTTTGATGAATTCGGTCGTCATGTGCAAAAATGCGAACAATGAATGACGACGAATTGGCTGACTGGTTGAGTGGCCAGCTTACGAAAAATAATAGCCTAAATGATAACAAAAACCGTTGGTGGCTAGTCTGCTTCTAAGCCACACCGACTCATGACGAGATGGGGTATGGATGTGCGGGTGAAACCTCTCGTGGGACTACTGCGCATGAAAGTAGGTCGCCCAGGAGACAGTCCCATGGACGATTGTAATACTTCGCTTGATATTTTTCACGATCTCTCCCTCTGTACCTTGAAGATGTTGGACTCTTGTTCCAGGATACTTCAAGTACACATTCTTATCGTCTCATCGACATCAACCATTAATGTATAACTTAGACTACGTTCTTGATTTTATTACAGTGTCTTTCTTTTCCTTCTTATACCTAGGTCAAAACTCGGTTAACTAGCTGCATGATTTCCTAATCATCCTGTGTTCCCTATCTTGTACATGACTGTAATATGTTGACCATGCCTTGATGGGCGTGTCTACCATTGCAAAGAACTAACGTTTATTCCTTGATGTATCAATGCATCCAGTTCTCCCACCTCAACATCAACTCTTAGGATGCATGGCTGAGTAAGCTATAAATCTCCGTCTACAAGTGAAGGTTGAAAGGATAGCAACTGAGCCCACTTAGTCTCACAATAACTCTGTAACACCCATTACATATTGCTTGATCAGGTCAATTCGATATCCAAGTCTAGGAACGTGCAGGCATTTCACTCTGCCTTACCTTACCCCTATGTACTAACTACCTCTAATTACTCGGTCAAGAAAGCTGTAGCACTGAAAAGTCAAGCAACTACATTGATACATTAATCCTACCTTTCCTCCTTCGCATATGAAGAAAAGTGCACCAAGTACAGATAGCTGGCCGTCTATTTGTATTATTATATAATATTATGTACTACCATGTGCTACACATATGATTTTGGTTGAAGACTGCCATTGCTTTATCCTCTTTCATGTTCCTTCTTTTTTCATGAGCCCGCCGCCTCCATGGTATCCCTGATGTGTACCGGAAAAACTAACTGAGATTGTTCGTGTTCTGATAGGAAACGAAAGAGAAAACCCCGAAACGTCTTCCCAAACGTTATTATTGTATCCCTGTATAACCCCTAAACATTGACAACCGTACATGCGTGAGCATGTTGCACATGTACATACGATTTGTTCCATTGGGGGCACGGTATCTCGATAAAACGAGAAATATACATTATTAGATTAGTATACCAAATATTGACTGACCCCAACCACGTAAGCCGCCATTTGCTGAAACTTAGCCACAACAGCAACTGTATGAAGATTATAAGCGTCTAGAGTGTCGACAGTATTAATATTCTCTTTGGGTTTACCAAACCTGGAACACCCAAACTCAGTTATATCCGTCCGTATACGGAAGGATATTTTCAAAAAAACGAGCAGACGTTGCTCTTAGGCCTAGCACTTGGTTACTTCAGCTTCTACCGGATTTATTGGTCAAGTGGATCAAAGGAGGCGGTACATTAGTGACAGAGGTTACATTTGTTCATACTTTACGTCAAATATAACTGCGCCCCATGTTGTCCTGTATGCTTACATTTAGTTTTTATTCTACACAATTGTTATTTAGCTACGCATGCAAACTCGGTAGACACTTAAACAGATGACTCACATCCCTTTTGATTTCGTAGTATTTATCCCGACCATTTTACGGACATTGTCAAGCACTTAGATTTTAACGGGAGACAAATCATTGTTCAATGTCTATGCCTTGTCACTCTTGTCAATACACGTTGGGTCCAGCCTCTCTTACTGTTCTCCGTATTCTCATACTTGAGTCGCCCCTTACGTGTCATTGCTAACGACTAGCATCTGAGTAAGTCTTCATAACATCCGCAAATGCTGCGATATCAACCGTGTCACCATACACCCTACTTATCAGTAAGCTAACATGCCCATCGCTAGTTACCGAAGACAGCAGCGGTTGTGTCTCAATGCACTCGGTACAGAGGAATGTTGCGAAACCAGTCAAACCAGACATCCATCCGATCTCTATTCGAAATCGAAGAGGGATGCAGGAGGGATCTTGTTTTCTGAAGCAAGATGCAAACGGTGGGTTGGGAAGTAGAGAGAAAAAGTAGTGGCGTGGTTGGCTGCAAATGAGATCAAATGAGGAACAAAAATAAGGTTCCATAGGTTACATGACTGAAAGCCGAAAAGAAACAGACATAAAATGGATGAAATTCAAAATCAAACTATGTCATATTCTGAAAGTAACTATGGCGCATCCGATTTGTGTCTCCCGATTGAGGATCAAGGCTATCAAGATAGTGAAAACTAAAAAATGGACTCTGTGAAGTTATCACACGTTGACACACTTCGAGGCACCGAGGTATGTGCCCATGAGAAAAGTTAGTGAGTGTTCAGCGGCCAAAAATGCAATCACTACGGCGTCATGTAGCACGTAGATCAGATGAGTGCAGTTTGTGTGGGTGGCCCAAGTACGCGGTGGTCCCTCGAATTCCGGGGCCAGTAACACGACTAGAATAAGGTGAAATCTGTGAAATAGTTTCATTTACATCTTATTTGACTTGAAGTTTCCTTTTCGCTCGTCACATGGTGGGGGGGGGTCATAATGTACCCTTACTTCATGGATTGAGTGTGTGTCAGCACAATCCGGTCAAGTGCCTTCTGCTCGCCGGTGTGAAGACATGGCGTTGCCCAAGAGCCTTTTAAGTGTACACTGATAAACGGACAGTAAGAACTGCAGAAATCGAAAATAATGTTGTTTGTGAAATCAGGTCGAAAGGCACACAGCGAGGATGTCAGACACGCCACCTCGCACCCGTTCCCGCAACTCCCTCATACAACCACGGAAGAGAGACAGAGTCTGATTCAAACATAGTTAACGATGCCTTCGACTCCATCAGGGATTGGTTTCGCAGATCAAGCGGTCTTTCCAATCGTGCAGTCACAAAGTCGGTCCTTGTGAGAGAGAAAAAAACAAAGAGAGATATAGTTCAAGGTGCTCAGAACTATGACTAAGATGTGGGGTTAATCACACAACAAATGGGTAAGTTTGGAGGATGTGCGAGTTGTATACCGATAGATAAGAGGAGAAATGACAACAGCAATGGAGTCTAGAGCGATCAGTTTGAGATGAGGTGGTGCGGCATGTTAGAGGGCGACAGCGAGCAGCGATGAGCAACATGCACTCAAATCGGTGCCGTCTGTGTTGCATCACAATCAGACACCATGCTCATGCCAGCGCACTGTTTAAATAAACCAGAAAAAACCAAGCGTGCGATGGATGATGGAAGCTGATAACGACAGAAGCGAACAACACCAGAAGCGGGTCCATTGGTCAAACGGCCACCAGGGAAGTATCTAAACGCATATACACACACGCGCGCAGCAGGGGACAAAGCATGCTCCAAGTGTGTAACACCCACAACAATCAAGCGGTGCGGCTGGTTAATGCCAAAATGACGCCATCGATTATGTGGAAGAGGGAGAAAAGGATTAATAATCGGTTACAAGTAGCAAGGCAACAACACAGTGCGGCGGAATGCTGGTACCTGAGCGATGATGATGGGCAAGCGTCCGGTTAACTGTATTTCTTCGGCTAGGGGAATGGAGGAGATCCATCACGATAAACATTGTGTTGATTTAGGTGAATTACTATGAGCCAGAGCCAGATCTGGAGATCGTTTCGAAGCTGATGGTCTATACACCGTCACATTGAAGAGTTCGTGGGTCAATGGTTAGGGAGACTGGGCCGCGACTCGTTCATCACGGAACAGTAAGGGGAACACAAGTTCATCAGGATGTATGTTTTTCGTATGTGCAAAAATAGGTTTCCAAGGCGGGAGGCTTATCCAAAAAGAGTTCCCTTTGGAATGCATGACATGGAGCTAGTGAATCTAGGATGGTTGACATGAATTGATAATGATGAGATGGATGAATTTGACCGGTCACATTCGGAATGGATGAAGCATAGTGCGGTGACGACCCTGTTCTATTTATTTGATTCATGTATGTTCGTCGAGCCGCGATTAACAGATGTGGGTAGAATTTGCGAATCGACGCTCGGTGTCATGGTATAGTGTTCGCGAACACTGCCAAGTGATGACTTTAAGTTCTTGCTTTCAGTCAGTGATTCGTGTAACCGAACGGACACGCCTTTCTCGCTTTCTGATGTGACGAATTCAAATGTGCTTTCATGAAGCCCCTCCTCATCTTCTGTGGTTCCCAAGACAGTGTACTCCAAGTTTGCTCCGAGTCCCGAAGCTAAACCAATATCTACTACAATGTCCGAAGTACTGCGGCTGTGGAGCAGGGTGTTCGGATCCTCAGGTAAGGAGCCAACTTCCTTCTTGGTTAATTCGGATGTATCGAGTGGGTTCGTGAATCCAACACTAGTATCAGGGTCTCTACTTTCGGCCTTTGCGGGGCTTCGACACCGGGGATTTATGAAATCCAAAACCCTCCATTCACAAGCAGAATCAGTTTTCAGAGAAAATGTATCAATGCCTTCATCACTAATTACCTCGCTCGTGATCTCACCATCTAGTGAATCCGCCATATTTGTCCGAGACAACGCATGCGGGAACGTTTCTCGTACATGCAAGTATCGTTCGACAGAGCCGGGGGTAACATGCAGTGATCCCATGGGGACATCGCTCCCAGTATCCAGTCCTGCTTCTTTTGACACATGTGCGGCAGCTTCAAGGTATTGACGTTGTAGATCTTCCAAATGGTGGGGGGTGAACTCCACAAAACCTTCTTCAAACCCTTCTGGAGAATCCTGGTCGCTATGTAGGATGTTGCTCGAACTGATGGAAGATGAGGTTGTGTACAAGGAATCGGAGACTCCACCAAAATGAGCGTGGCCGCTGGAATTAAGCGAATCACATTCGCGCTCCTGGTGAGACCTCAATACTTCTTGGGCTTCGTGGAAGTAACTGGTGGCCCATTCGTGTGAAAGCACTGTGGAGCACGCGGCTAAATCAGCCGCAAACGCAGAAGAAAGTAAAGAATCATACATGGTGGAGTGAACGAGTGAGTCGGTTTCCGCCAGCTCCACATTGGTCTCGGTGTCATTCGCTGTTTCCGTGGCGACAATCTGCAAGTCTATGATAGAGAGCTCGGAGTCTGTGTCGTCTGTTGGCAGCGGAAGTCCACGTGGTGCTGCAAGCGACTCGGTTGTCGCCAGTGCAGTCGCCGAATCGGTACTTTGGGTGAGTGAGCTAGTGAACTGTTCGGCCACTGAGTCTTCGAAAATGGTTGAAATGTGGCCGGCTCTTATGGAAACGCCGGTCTGACCACTCAACGGGCTAGCCGAGATTCCATTCGCCTCGGACTCCGTAACAAACCCGTTAGTGTATCGTGCCTTTGGATCAGATGATGGGGGAATACTTTCGGCTGAACTAGCGCAATCTTTTTCGTTTCTGAGGAATTCAGACAGGGATGAGGTGTGTGAACTCAGCTCGTTGGAGCTTCCACCAGGCATACTGTTAAGCGATGTTGCTCCGCTGCCTAGTGCCTTCTCAAGCCGTTCGAATTCTGATAAGGAACTACTGGTTGTGCTATCTGATGGAATATGCCCAACCTCCTCATTTTCGCACTTAACTCTCTTACAGGGACTTGTGGGAACTCCACTCAATCTATCCGGTTGTTCGAGCGGCCTGTTCACCAGCTCCGGCTGATACCCTTGAGAACCTGTCCTCTTCAGCGCGGAGTCCGACAGTAGCTTCGAGCTGTGTTCAGCCATCATTAAACCAGGTAACGAGACAGCACCAGCAAGGTGTTTACTCGGAGCTTCAGCTTCATCTGATGGCGAATTAGGCAACGCCTGCAATGAAGTCAGCAGATTCGGTGTGAGAGCCACACCTCGAGCCGGCTCCTTAGTGGGAATTATAGCAGAAATGCTCGTGTTTTGAATATCGGTGAGACTTCCTCGGTGGTCACTTACATTGAAGTCGCTGTCAATGGAGGCCAAGGTTGTGGCCGATTCACGAATGGTGGATGTCTCCCGAGATTGTCTGAGGTCTGCTCTGTCGTTTCCATCTGAGCAAGGCTTAGAAAAAGTAACGCAAACGAACTCGTGACCGTTAGGTGAGTTATCAGTTGCCGATGTGTCATGACTCATTGTTCCTGCTTCTTTCAAAGCCATATCTGAATAACGTGAAATATTTGACCAAGAAAGTTTTAATACATTCGTTTCAAAGGCGCTAGTTGGACTCTGCTTATTCACAGTGGTCAATGCGAAATTTCCCCCTGATTCATTATCAATATCGTGGACTGAGGCTATCCTCTTCCATCTCCCAACGTGAGCATCACATTCATCCTCGTTGTCAAGATTTAGTAACTGTAAACTGTGGTTACTGTCTGGAGAAGAATCACTGGAAGTGTTCTGTTCTGCAGCGGGCACTTCCAAAATAGGTGACAATCCACTCCTTGTGGTCTCCATTTCTTGCGGATGGACGTTGGTTTGCTCTCCGATGTGGTACAACTGCGAGCTACCTTCGTCAAGACTGTCGTTATCAAAATCAATCACCTCGTCAACATCGCTATCATCTTCGATATCACTTGATGCAGTCTCCCTGAAGCTGGTACTCTGACATGGCTCGATCATCAAGATATCCCCAAATCCCGGTATTGTAATCTCTTTGCCTGGTTCATACACTATTTGTGGGCTTGACTGTAACTCTTGTGTTAAGTTTGACCGACTTTGGGTCAGCCTCGATTTCATCTGAAGCATCTCAGAATCCAAGTTACGAAATCCATAAGTCTGAAGTCGACTTAGCACTTTCTCTGATCGGTCCAGTGCAGAGCTAACCATCTGGTTGGTGGAACTACCTCCTTCCATTCGGATTCGTAGAGCGTGAGACGTGCCTTTGCCAGGTAGCGAGGACTTTTCCACTCCAGAACAGCTAGTAGGTTCACATAGATCACTGTCGTCGTCGTCGTCATCATCAGGAAATTCGAACTCATCATCATTGTCCGTGAACTCGACAGCTAAGTTGGCTCCGGCAGCTGTCGCCAGTTGCTTGAAATCATCATCTTTGTTTTCCAAATCTGCAGTAATTCCCGGTGAGTGCTCAGTGCAGGAGAATGGGGAGCAAAAGTCACCTTCATGGTCTGCTTCACAATTAGATTGTGGAGGCAAGTCCCGTGAAACTTCTGTTGGGGAAACACTAGATGTAGCTGAAACCACTTCATCTGGTTTACCCAAGTAATGAGACTGCATTCTTGAGAATGAACTTTCAGGTAAGCCAGAAAGAACCGATTCTGAGGTGATAACTGGAGGTGAACCTCTAGCAAACCTCTCTGTGACTGGTAAACATTGTTCCTCAGAATTTTGCAAATCATGCTTGGCCTCTGAAGAAAGACAAGAAAGTCCCGTGACTTCACTCGTTTCTTTTATGGGAAACTCAAACTCAACTTCCGGTGGCAAAGAAACATCAGAGATACCTAGACACATCGGCACCTTGTCCTCTACAGGTTTCAGCCGAGAAGATTCGATGTAAGCTATTTCTTCGAATTCCAGCTGAACAGGGCTTCTATCAGAGCTAAAATGAACTACTTCCACAAATGAAGGGATAGCCGTTTGCTCAATAGACAAATGACGGCAAGCGGGAACAGCGTCGGCTTCAGCTGGGATTTCTGTGATGGGTTCACTTTGCGGGCGCTTGTATCCTGTTAGACCTAAGTGCAAGCACGTAAGATCCGTATCAGATCTCACAGACCGGCTACCACAAAACATCAATTGAGTATCACAAGCATGGAATCTAATTTCTTGCGAAAGGCTTGCATGCATTGCAGGTAAAGCTACACAGTCAGCGGAGGTGACTTCAACAGCCATATCTTCGTATTCCAGGGAAACTCCCTCGGAGATTGGTAAATTCAAAGGCGCGTCCGACGTTCGAGCAAGTCGCATTCCCAGTAAATGTCGCTCCTCTCTAAAAGCCTGCGGCTCCACCCAAGTGGGGCACATACGAACATCTTCAAAGTTAACACACGAACGACCCGAAAGACCTAAATTCGTAAAACATGGCTGAGCCTCCAGGGAACCAACACGACCAGAAGTAGAGGTAAAGTCATAGGAAGGATCACCGAAGGAAGAACATACAACAGCAGGAGTCGCAGAAAAGGAGGAGCACTCAGATAAAACAGCAGGCTCAAAAACAACCTTAGAAGAGAGCAGTGTTCCTGAAGAATTAGAGCAAATAGAAACCACAGGAGAGCAATCCGGGAATCGGGAGGGCACGCAGGGTAACTCCAAAACAGAATCCAGCGCATCACTAAGGTTAACCCGAGCCGTAGATTCGTAAAGTTCATCCAAAGCCGAAACCTCAGAATCAGAAACATCTTCCCACAAAACCGAATCAGAAAAAGAAGAAGCAGAATACGCCAAACAGGGCAAAACATCCATACAACGAGCAGCCAGATAACCAACCGCCACAGTCTCTCCAAAAGCTTCCGCCTCCTCCACTGCAACGACAGTAGGCTCGGACTCCACAGACAGGTCAACTCGCGCCTCTATCTCCGCCTCCGCAATCTCGGATGCGCGCATTCCTTCCACTTCGGTCAATGTCTCCGCACCGAGCGCTGATTCAGCCACTGCTTCAGCCACAACATCCGCCTCCCACTCCGAAGCTACCGCAGCCTCCACCTCAACACCAGCACCAACCTGCGTCTCCGACTCAGCCTCTAACTCCAACTCTGCCTCTGCCTCTGCCTCTACCTCCAACTTCGCTTCCGCTTCCGCCTCCGCCTCCGCCTCCGCCTCCGCCTCAACCTCCACTTCCACCTCCGACGCTACCTCTCGCGCTTCCGCTACCTCCGGACCCCGCTCCGCATCCACTGCTGTCCACAACTCTCTACCCTCCTCTAACTCTACCTCCACCTCTCCAACTGCTTCCAACTCAATCGCACGATCCACCTCACCTTCCACCTCAACTGCACCTTCAGGCACAGCCCCTACCTCGACCTCCGCCTCAACATCAACCTCCACCTCAACACCAAACTCTGCCCCGGCCACAGACTCCGCCTCCCGATCAGCCTCAACAACTCGCTCGCCAACAGCCTCCGCCGCAACCGGACTCACTGCAATCACACCAGTAACTTCCGCCTCCAACGCCGCCTCCGTCTCCGCACCTACCTCTACCTCTACCTCTCCTGCTACCTCGACCTCTCCCGCTGCAACACGCTCTGCCTCTGCCTCTGCCACCGGCACCGTCACCGCACCAGCCTCAACCTCTTCCTCCGACTTCCATACACCCAATGGCAATACTGCCGGCTCAGCCTCAGTCTCCGCCTCCGCCTCCGCCTCCATCACGCTCTCCACGCGTGAAGCCGACATGACCTCGGTCTCAAGCTCTACACCCGGCTCCAACATCACTTCGGCCTCAACATCAGCGCGAACACGCTCGAATTGCAACTCATCCGCCACAAACACTAAGCCACCTCGAGAGTCACGTCGCGGTGCCTCCGCCCCCTCTTCCCTTTCCGCTTCCAATCCAAACGACAATTCACCCTTCGCCACAACCTCCAACTCTGACACCGTCTCAGACTCTGCAGCGCCGCCTACCGCCTGCTCCATCTCCGACGCCAAATCACGCTCCGACACAATCTCTCCAACCGTCTCAGCCTCCTCTACTGCTTCCACAGTAGGCTCGGACTCCACAGACAGGTCAACTCGCGCCTCTATCTCCGCCTCCGCAATCTCGGATGCGCGCATTCCTTCCACTTCGGTCAATGTCTCCGCACCGAGCGCTGATTCAGCCACTGCTTCAGCCACAACATCCGCCTCCCACTCCGAAGCTACCGCAGCCTCCATCTCAACACCAGCACCAACCTGCGTCTCCGACTCAGCCTCTAACTCCAACTCTGCCTCTGCCTCTGCCTCTACCTCCAACTTCGCTTCCGCTTCCGCCTCCGCCTCCGCCTCAACCTCCACTTCCACCTCCGACGCTACCTCTCGCGCTTCCGCTACCTCCGGACCCCGCTCCGCATCCACTGCTGTCCACAACTCTCTACCCTCCTCTAACTCTACCTCCACCTCTCCAACTGCTTCCAACTCAATCGCACGATCCACCTCACCTTCCACCTCAACTGCACCTTCAGGCACAGCCCCTACCTCGACCTCCGCCTCAACATCAACCTCCACCTCAACACCAAACTCTGCCCCGGCCACAGACTCCGCCTCCCGATCAGCCTCAACAACTCGCTCGCCAACAGCCTCCGCCGCAACCGGACTCACTGCAATCACACCAGTAACCTCCGCCTCCAACGCCGCCTCCGTCTCCGCACCTACCTCTACCTCTACCTCTCCTGCTACCTCGACCTCTCCCGCTGCAACACGCTCTGCCTCTGCCTCTGCCACCGGCACCGTCACCGCACCAGCCTCAACCTCTGCCTCCGACTTCCATACACCCAATGGCAATACTGCCGGCTCAGCCTCAGTCTCCGCCTCCGCCTCCGCCTCCAGCACGCTCTCCACGCGTGAAGCCGACATGACCTCGGTCTCAAGCTCTACACCCGGCTCCAACATCACTTCGGCCTCAACATCAGCGCGAACACGCTCGAATTGCAACTCATCCGCCACAAACACTAAGCCACCTCGAGAGTCACGTCGCGGTGCCTCCGCCCCCTCTTCCCTTTCCGCTTCCAATCCAAACGACAATTCACCCTTCGCCACAACCTCCAACTCTGACACCGCCTCAGACTCTGCAGCGCCTCCTACCTCCTGCTCCATCTCCGACGCCAAATCACGCTCCGACACAATCTCTCCAACCGTCTCAGCCTCCTCTACTGCTTCCACAGTAGGCTCGGACTCCACAGACAGGTCAACTCGCGCCTCTATCTCCGCCTCCGCAATCTCGGATGCGCGCATTCCTTCCACTTCGGTCAATGTCTCCGCACCGAGCGCTGATTCAGCCACTGCTTCAGCCACAACATCCGCCTCCCACTCCGAAGCTACCGCAGCCTCCATCTCAACACCAGCACCAACCTGCGTCTCCGACTCAGCCTCTAACTCCAACTCTGCCTCTGCCTCTGCCTCTACCTCCAACTTCGCTTCCGCTTCCGCCTCCGCCTCCGCCTCAACCTCCACTTCCACCTCCGACGCTACCTCTCGCGCTTCCGCTACCTCCGGACCCCGCTCCGCATCCACTGCTGTCCACAACTCTCTACCCTCCTCTAACTCTACCTCCACCTCTCCAACTGCTTCCAACTCAATCGCACGATCCACCTCACCTTCCACCTCAACTGCACCTTCAGGCACAGCCCCTACCTCGACCTCCGCCTCAACATCAACCTCCACCTCAACACCAAACTCTGCCCCGGCCACAGACTCCGCCTCCCGATCAGCCTCAACAACTCGCTCGCCAACAGCCTCCGCCGCAACCGGACTCACTGCAATCACACCAGTAACTTCCGCCTCCAACGCCGCCTCCGTCTCCGCCTCTACCTCTACCTCTACCTCTCCTGCTACCTCGACCTCTCCCGCTGCAACACGCTCTGCCTCTGCCTCTGCCACCGGCACCGTCACCGCACCAGCCTCAACCTCTTCCTCCGACTTCCATACACCCAATGGCAATACTGCCGGCTCAGCCTCAGTCTCCGCCTCCGCCTCCGCCTCCAGCACGCTCTCCACGCGTGAAGCCGACATGACCTCGGTCTCAAGCTCTACACCCGGCTCCAACATCACTTCGGCCTCAACATCAGCGCGAACACGCTCGAATTGCAACTCATCCGCCACAAACACTAAGCCACCTCGAGAGTCACGTCGCGGTGCCTCCGCCCCCTCTTCCCTTTCCGCTTCCAATCCAAACGACAATTCACCCTTCGCCACAACCTCCAACTCTGACACCGCCTCAGACTCTGCAGCGCCTCCTACCTCCTGCTCCATCTCCGACGCCAAATCACGCTCCGACACAATCTCTCCAACCGTCTCAGCCTCCTCTACTGCTTCCACAGTAGGCTCGGACTCCACAGACAGGTCAACTCGCGCCTCTATCTCCGCCTCCGCAATCTCGGATGCGCGCATTCCTTCCACTTCGGTCAATGTCTCCGCACCGAGCGCTGATTCAGCCACTGCTTCAGCCACAACATCCGCCTCCCACTCCGAAGCTACCGCAGCCTCCATCTCAACACCAGCACCAACCTGCGTCTCCGACTCAGCCTCTAACTCCAACTCTGCCTCTGCCTCTGCCTCTACCTCCAACTTCGCTTCCGCTTCCGCCTCCGCCTCCGCCTCAACCTCCACTTCCACCTCCGACGCTACCTCTCGCGCTTCCGCTACCTCCGGACCCCGCTCCGCATCCACTGCTGTCCACAACTCTCTACCCTCCTCTAACTCTACCTCCACCTCTCCAACTGCTTCCAACTCAATCGCACGATCCACCTCACCTTCCACCTCAACTGCACCTTCAGGCACAGCCCCTACCTCGACCTCCGCCTCAACATCAACCTCCACCTCAACACCAAACTCTGCCCCGGCCACAGACTCCGCCTCCCGATCAGCCTCAACAACTCGCTCGCCAACAGCCTCCGCCGCAACCGGACTCACTGCAATCACACCAGTAACCTCCGCCTCCAACGCCGCCTCCGTCTCCGCACCTACCTCTACCTCTACCTCTCCTGCTACCTCGACCTCTCCCGCTGCAACACGCTCTGCCTCTGCCTCTGCCACCGGCACCGTCACCGCACCAGCCTCAACCTCTTCCTCCGACTTCCATACACCCAATGGCAATACTGCCGGCTCAGCCTCAGTCTCCGCCTCCGCCTCCGCCTCCGCCTCCAGCACGCTCTCCACGCGTGAAGCCGACATGACCTCGGTCTCAAGCTCTACACCCGGCTCCAACATCACTTCGGCCTCAACATCAGCGCGAACACGCTCGAATTGCAACTCATCCGCCACAAACACTAAGCCACCTCGAGAGTCACGTCGCGGTGCCTCCGCCCCCTCTTCCCTTTCCGCTTCCAATCCAAACGACAATTCACCCTTCGCCACAACCTCCAACTCTGACACCGCCTCAGACTCTGCAGCGCCTCCTACCTCCTGCTCCATCTCCGACGCCAAATCACGCTCCGACACAATCTCTCCAACCGTCTCAGCCTCCTCTACTGCTTCCACAGTAGGCTCGGACTCCACAGACAGGTCAACTCGCGCCTCTATCTCCGCCTCCGCAATCTCGGATGCGCGCATTCCTTCCACTTCGGTCAATGTCTCCGCACCGAGCGCTGATTCAGCCACTGCTTCAGCCACAACATCCGCCTCCCACTCCGAAGCTACCGCAGCCTCCACCTCAACACCAGCACCAACCTGCGTCTCCGACTCAGCCTCTAACTCCAACTCTGCCTCTGCCTCTGCCTCTACCTCCAACTTCGCTTCCGCTTCCGCCTCCGCCTCCGCCTCAACCTCCACTTCCACCTCCGACGCTACCTCTCGCGCTTCCGCTACCTCCGGACCCCGCTCCGCATCCACTGCTGTCCACAACTCTCTACCCTCCTCTAACTCTACCTCCACCTCTCCAACTGCTTCCAACTCAATCGCACGATCCACCTCACCTTCCACCTCAACTGCACCTTCAGGCACAGCCCCTACCTCGACCTCCGCCTCAACATCAACCTCCACCTCAACACCAAACTCTGCCCCGGCCACAGACTCCGCCTCCCGATCAGCCTCAACAACTCGCTCGCCAACAGCCTCCGCCGCAACCGGACTCACTGCAATCACACCAGTAACTTCCGCCTCCAACGCCGCCTCCGTCTCCGCACCTACCTCTACCTCTACCTCTCCTGCTACCTCGACCTCTCCCGCTGCAACACGCTCTGCCTCTGCCTCTGCCACCGGCACCGTCACCGCACCAGCCTCAACCTCTTCCTCCGACTTCCATACACCCAATGGCAATACTGCCGGCTCAGCCTCAGTCTCCGCCTCCGCCTCCGCCTCCGCCTCCAGCACGCTCTCCACGCGTGAAGCCGACATGACCTCGGTCTCAAGCTCTACACCCGGCTCCAACATCACTTCGGCCTCAACATCAGCGCGAACACGCTCGAATTGCAACTCATCCGCCACAAACACTAAGCCACCTCGAGAGTCACGTCGCGGTGCCTCCGCCCCCTCTTCCCTTTCCGCTTCCAATCCAAACGACAATTCACCCTTCGCCACAACCTCCAACTCTGACACCGCCTCAGACTCTGCAGCGCCTCCTACCTCCTGCTCCATCTCCGACGCCAAATCACGCTCCGACACAATCTCTCCAACCGTCTCAGCCTCCTCTACTGCTTCCACAGTAGGCTCGGACTCCACAGACAGGTCAACTCGCGCCTCTATCTCCGCCTCCGCAATCTCGGATGCGCGCATTCCTTCCACTTCGGTCAATGTCTCCGCACCGAGCGCTGATTCAGCCACTGCTTCAGCCACAACATCCGCCTCCCACTCCGAAGCTACCGCAGCCTCCACCTCAACACCAGCACCAACCTGCGTCTCCGACTCAGCCTCTAACTCCAACTCTGCCTCTGCCTCTGCCTCTACCTCCAACTTCGCTTCCGCTTCCGCCTCCGCCTCAACCTCCACTTCCACCTCCGACGCTACCTCTCGCGCTTCCGCTACCTCCGGACCCCGCTCCGCATCCACTGCTGTCCACAACTCTCTACCCTCCTCTAACTCTACCTCCACCTCTCCAACTGCTTCCAACTCAATCGCACGATCCACCTCACCTTCCACCTCAACTGCACCTTCAGGCACAGCCCCTACCTCGACCTCCGCCTCAACATCAACCTCCACCTCAACACCAAACTCTGCCCCGGCCACAGACTCCGCCTCCCGATCAGCCTCAACAACTCGCTCGCCAACAGCCTCCGCCGCAACCGGACTCACTGCAATCACACCAGTAACTTCCGCCTCCAACGCCGCCTCCGTCTCCGCCTCTACCTCTACCTCTACCTCTCCTGCTACCTCGACCTCTCCCGCTGCAACACGCTCTGCCTCTGCCTCTGCCACCGGCACCGTCACCGCACCAGCCTCAACCTCTTCCTCCGACTTCCATACACCCAATGGCAATACTGCCGGCTCAGCCTCCATTTGTGTCTGCGTCACTTTTTCCGCGTGTGATGCCGGCCTTTCATCTGTCTCTTTGTCGACATCCTGGTGCCTCTTTTCTTTTTCTGCTCTTTTTTCTTTAGCGTGCCTTTTTATTGGTATCTCTTTGTCCTTTTCTGAGAATTCTTCTAGCAGGTTGTCGTAGCTGTCTTCATTGTCTGTTTTTCTTTCAGCTCCTCCGTCTATCTCTTCTAGTTCTACGGATGTTGATTCCACTATTGCTAACTCTTGCTTGGTGGGCTCTTGTTGTTGTGCTGTTGTGAATTCCTCTATTTTTGCTTTTTTTATTTGTTCGTGGTATATTTCTGTGTCTTTTGCCATGCGTGCAATTTTAGGAACGTGTGTTGTTAGTTCTTGTTCTCTGTTTATTAATCTTTGAATGTTTTTCCGCACATTTAATTCAGCATCCTCATTTATTTCGCCGATCTCCTCAATGGAACGTGGCACATTTATAAGCTCCAGCATTTGTTTCACGGATATGCCTTTCGGTATTTCCTCTTCGGTAGGTGTTCTGATCCCCTCTTTCTCTTTTTCTTCCTTTGCAAGGTCTGCCAACGTACATCCAATAAATGACATGTGAAAGGGTTTTTGCATTATTTAGTGATTTAAATTGGAACACATTGGCATCAATTTTGCGATATATAGCAGCACCGCATCACGAAACAACCAAGGTGGGGTTGGGGGAGGGGGCAAATGGAGCAAAGCAAAGACAGAAAAAAGGCTGTCATCACAATTTATCGAGCAAACCGTACGAAAAACAGCCACAAACAATAAATGCGTCGGTTTATTTGAAATGGCTTTAAGTAATAGCTAACCTATGTTGTACCTATAGTTGTCATGCTAAATGCGATTATCTTTGTTAACGTTATTGCATTTGTAACATAGTTCGAGTAACTTGTGGATATTTTGTACTTGTCGTTTCTTCCTTGACAACCAACTTACTTCATATGCTAATTTAGCGGAGATATATCTGCATAACCGTATGCATTAACAGATATAATCTTTTGTTAATGTTGTTTCAAGTGATTGCTGTTGCTTGATATCCCCGCTGTGACTGCGCTTGATGTGCATGTTGACAAGGTGCCTACCTGTCTAGTACCCATTACCTCGAACACGCAACCTTCTGACTCCAGACCAGAAGGTTGCGTGTGTGAGTCACGTCGGGGTCACCAATTTAGAGGGTAGCCTGTACCGGGAGCCAGCAGAACGATTCGAGAAGACAGATCGAGTTGCAGGGAAACTTTTAATGGTGCAGTAAAAGATTCCGTTATTTAGCTATAAAGGAACGACACCGTGGACGCTCTAGCTAGAGGAACGGAGCATGCCCAGCACACAGGTCCGTCGTGCGTTGCAACCGAAACGAGCGTCAAGCAAAAATGGCGATGAGCAAGTCAAGCATTCGAATTCAGCAATCAGTTCAACAAACCACATCGGTTGCCTAAGTGTACAATGAAATAATTTTAGTTGGAATTTTACACAGGCAAACCGGGGAATCTCCAGACTGCTACAGATGTTAAATAAAGAATTATTTCCACGCGTCTCTCGCAAGCTGTAGCGTACATGTATCAACTACAGCCAGAGGGTCACGGAGCTAGCGAAAATTTTAAAAGCACCCCACTCAATGGCTTAATAGAGAGACGCGGAGCTTGATGATTGGCACGAGATACAAACCCGAGTGACCGTGACGTTTATCGACCCACACTCTCCACAAAAAAGAGTACATTTTGATGCCAATTCAGTGAAATGTTACGTTCGGGAATGTTTCTGGGTGTGCAGCTATACGAGGTGGTTGTGTTGGGGTTGATCGATTCCAGCTGGCTTGTACAGTTAGTAGGACGGCAGAACGCCGACGACCGCGTTCATTTACCTAACGTGGCTCGTTTATGGTGAACGCCGGTCATTTACAGTTGTTGTCCCCACCATACAAAAGTAAAATATTAGAGGTGGTGGCTATCTCAAGATCGTCGCACTCCATTCGATTACGGTCGAGCAGGGACAATCTTCCGAAAGTCATAACCTCGAAAATTTTACTTTTCACGGATGACGTGAAAAGTTAACCGGCGAGCAAGAGAGTAACGGACCACAAGATCCTCCATGTACGACCTAGCTTGGACCTGGCATTGACCAGTGAGGAATTCACTGCCATTCAATGTGGTCAAGTGACACGTTGTTCACATCCGCCATGGACACGCCTATCTCTACAAAATTGGGGCAAACGATCTGCAGACAAGCCCCCAGAAACGTGACTTCGGAGTGCTGGTGCAGGACGACTTCGGTTATTCCAGACAGTCGGAATCCGTTTCAAAAGTGGTAACCAGCACATTGTTAGCTTGCGGATGGCATTCGAAAGTTTAGATTCATTCATCTTCTCTAGGGGGCTCCACGCCTATGTGCATTCCCACGTAGAGTACGCAATCCAGGCTTGACATGCTTGGCTAAATCGTGAGCTTGCAGCACTCGAAACTCACCATGGTCGAACAGCAAAAGGTGTCAAGAGATTGTGCAACCTTTCGTACTAGCAGCCACCAAAAACAATCGGAGTGTTCAGTACACGCTGCAGATGGCTACGTGGAGACTACATATTAGTCTACCGAATACGGAACGACTTCACTTACGCATGTCGCCACCTGCTGCAACGCATCCCGAACACCAACTTCACAGGCAATAGCCTGAAACTGAGTCAACAACACAATCGGCTTTTCATTAAGGCTGGACGAACTTTGGTTAATATTGACCCAGTGCTTCAGCTATAAGTGCTTTCAGTTTGTCCAATGTACGCGGCCTTGTTTTGTACACTCGCCGCTTCAGATAGCCCCATAGAAAAAAGTCCATGAGGTTCAAATCTGGTGAGCGAGCAGGCCACTCCATTGGTCCACCGCGCCCGATCCAATGGTGACCAAATCTGTCGGTGAGGTAAGCACGCACCGTCTTAGCGGAATGTGCAGGTGCACCAACCTGCTGCCACCAAATGGTACTGTATGCGCCGTCGGCCTCCAACTGCGGAAGCATAAATGTCCGCAGCATTTCCAAGTACAACAATGCTAGGAAAAGATAAGGCTTTGGTACTTCAAAACAACAACCAACCGGCCACATTCCCAGAAAAAATATGGGCCCAAGATTTTCTGGCTTGTTAATCCAGCCCAAACCATTAGTTTCACACTCACGTGCATACGTGATGCGGTAAATTTTCGTGAGTTGCTGGTAGCCCAACAGTAATGTTCCATTATTCCATGCAGGTGAAACAGTGCCTCATCTGTAAAGATGACAGAGCGAATATCCCCGTGATCCAGAAACCAGCGGCAAAATTCATGCCGCTTCTCCGGATCTCACGGGTTCAAAACCTGCACTTGAAGTGCACAGAATCTTCGTAATTTTCGTTCCAGTAATATCCGGTGTACCGCATATCGGGTCGTGTCACAGTGCTGTGCGATCCAACAAATGCTGAAATCGGGACTTTTTGTTACTTCACTGACTACCGTGCAAACTAACAGTCGCCGTGGTGATGCGAGGCGGTCCGGTTCTCTTCATGTCACATACACGCAGTTGGATCGAACTGCTTCACCTGTTTAAGCACGTACTGGGCGGGGACGGGACGCATTCCTGCGTTCTTCGCATTGTATTTTCCTGAAGTCGAGGCAGCGTTTAAACCGCATTCACCGAACAGCCGAATAAACAGCGCGCGCTGAGCAACAGTCACGTTACGTGATCCCGACTGCATTTTCTGCTCGTGCTCCATTACCTGTGACAGTGATTTAATGACACTGACATGACTTGCGATGCCTAACCTTGTCCTCAGATAATCCAACACCCGGTTCGCTGGGATGCCATCACGTGCGCACATTCACGCCACAGTTTTGGTTGCGCGTTTTATCATGCCCACACCGACTTTGCTGCGTAGCCAGCAAGATACACAGGCAACCAGCGATAGCTCCAACGCCTACGGTTAGCCATGACCTTTAGCACCCATCGCAAAGTTAACTGAGAGCTAACGAACGCCGGAAACCCCTTGTGGCTGTCTGTACTCATCTCGCTCGATTAACAAAACAGCCTCATGTCGGTGCGTCTTTACCAGGTTACGCCTGCACTCAGCTGTGCCCTACACTAAATCACTCGTCTGCCGAAAATTACAAACGTACTCACCACTATGGTGAGAGAGAAATCCATGTATCTGCACATGCAGTAGCCAACTTGCGAAATTCGTTAAACATTGGATGGCTATTGGATGGTGAGGACAGCAACCGTAAATGACCGGCCTTCACCATAAACGAACCACGGTAGGTAAATGAACGCGGTAATCGGCCTTCTGCCGTCAGACTAACAATACTTTAATGTCTCCCGGCGCCTATGGGCGTTGCCATGTCCGCCAGGCAGTGGTGACGCGCAAGCCATCGTAGAGTGAGCTGTGATGCGCAAACTCATGTGGTCTAAGGCGCCCACACAAAACAGTAGGGCCGCGGGTTCTGGTTCCCTAAGTAAAACCGTGCCTGCAGCCGGCAGATTGTGGCATCTGCGCAGTGGGTCAGTCCAACGCTGCCAGGCCTCGAGTAAACTGTTCATATGGGTTGGATCCACCAGAGTCAGGGTGTGTCCATTAACACCAGCTAACCATTGATTAGATTGTCTGAACTTATGTGAAGCGCTGTCTTTGTGGCGACAATACATTCTGTGTATTGCTGAAACTGACGTGTTGTACTTTCGTGCGCTACAGGCCGAATATTGTGTTCTACTATGTGTCATGGTTCAGTACGCACAGAGTTGTAACATTGGCGACGGAGATCAATTTTGCATACCTTTTACATGAGCCAGGTCACTCCACCTGAACCGTTTTGGAAGGATGCATTATGTAAGCCAATTTTACCGCTTTGGATTCGCTGGAAGAGAAGCTTCTGCGATAACCCTGAACTACTCCCAGTAACAATTCCTCACATTAATCTTACCGAAGCCCAATCTGTCAAACTCCTGAGACATCCTGGTGCAGAAGGGCAAAGGCATTTTGATGCATTGCCTTTGTACGAAAACATATCTGTTCGACAGTCTTAATGCACTTGATTGCCTTTGGGGGCTGCGGCAGCATGTCTTCATGGCACGCCTGAGTTTTTCCCAGTTACAACAGGGAAAGAAAGAAGGTGTTAATGAATTCATCAGCAGTATACAACAATCACTTCCAGACTGCCGTTATAATGGAATTCCACCCACGAAGTTTGAAGAGACAATGGACATCCAGTGTCTGTTGCTTGGTATTCGGGACGATAAAGCCAGGGAACGTCTACTTTTGGAAGACAAGAACACACTTAATTGAGAGGCAGCATGTGCGCTGCTCAGACAACGCGAGAACTTGTTGCGACAATTGGTTCACTATCGGAACGATTCTCTTCCCGACGCAGTTCACGCTGTTAAGTCGCGTGCTCAACTAACCGTTAAAGGTTCTTTCACTTCCTACCGATGCGGTGAAAGTCATGAAAACGCTTCTGGCTGTATACACAAGCAATCTACCTGCCATAAATGAGGCAAAGTTGGACATTTTGTACGCGTTTGCCGTTCGACGGTT